GCCGACAGCCAGTTTACCTGGACCTCAGCTGGACCAATATTTCCAAGAAACAATTATCCTGGCTTATCAATCGATTGCCAGGTACACAACTTTGAGTAACTCCTGATCTATTTACAAGGAAAAATCTCTTGTTTGATCAATTTGTTTTGCATCTGTCCTTTAAAACGCTGCTGTGTCTTCCAGGTCTGCGAGTGTTAAAGTTGTCGGGGTGCTCTTGGGCTGCTGTGTCTGCGCTCTGCACCTCCAGCTGCCCTCTGCTGCGCACCCTGGATGTCCAGTGGGTGGAGGGACTTAAAGATGCGCAGATGAGGGACCTCCTCTCACCCCCCACAGACAACAGACCAGGTAACTCAACAAAGCACAAGTGCAACTGTACTGTATGAGTACATGGGTTAGGTCCCTGTTTTGTGACGTATTTTAATACAATTGTTCAACAATGCAACTCTAAATTAGCCACTCCTTATAAAATGTAAGGGTTAGAATCCTTAGTGAGTATTTTATGAGAGAGTGGCTCTTCTTAATCATAGGTGATGGATTAATAATAGTGGTTTACTTTGCACGTCTCCCAGTTCGCTCTGCAAGGACTTTAAACATAAAGTTTATTGCAGAACTGATTGTGACTCACATTTCCTTGTACTTTATAAAATGCAAAAAGTGATGGGTGATATTTTTATGTGACCGACTGACAGGTCAGCTGGATAACCGCTGCAAGTTGCGTAATGTAGAGACCCTGCGGCTGGCAGGGCTGGACATCACAGACACATCTTTACGTCTCATCAGTCGGCAGATGCCTTTGCTGTCCAGGCTGGACCTGAGTTACTGCAACCACATCAACGACCAGTCAGTCAACCTACTGACAGCAGCAGGCACCACGACCAGAGACTCTCTAACAGAAATCAACCTGTCTGGTGAGAACCGGGAGCTGAGGAGTACACAATTACAGGAGCTGCTGGGTTGTAAATAACACACAGATTTGAGACAGTATGAAGCCAGAAGCTTTTGCTGGGTGGCCACCAAAATCAGTTTTTCAGGGAATCCAGATTTATCTTGTTCTGGTTTTCCCAAATAAGTACCTTAATCCTCATCCAAAAAAATAATAGTAAAGGTTTTAAAAGAAGTATGCATGTTACTTTCTAAATCAAAAGAAATCACAAAAAGAATTTGTCTGGTTGTTCTAAAAAAAACCTGTGTGTTTAGGAATGCCACTGACATTAAGCTAAGGTATTCAATGTGCTTAAATAAATAAACAAACCCATTATTTATCTCATATTTACATCTGGACTATTTCTACCATGACAAACTATCTTCAAATAGACACGTAAAAGAATGCTGTTACACAGATTGTACTTCATTAATAGTATTCTACCTGGGAAACGTACCACCTACCTTTGGCAGGAACAGTTGAACACTGACAGGCTTTCAGTCTGTACGGAGTGTTGGCGTGGCAACTGCAGAGGGACTCTTGTTATATGAAAGAATTGAAGGTAGAGAAGGTAAATCACAGTGGATTTTAATAACCTGAATGCTCTGAGCTGCACTTCATTGTTCAAAACATTTACATTTTGACACTCATAGACACCAATTAATCGAACATACATTGGATAACTTTTTAAAAAAAAAAGCTAAAACATAAAAAATGATGTGGCATCAAACTCACGTGGAGAAATTCGTTCTTATATCCCAAGCGACCTTCCTTCAGTATAGTTGAAGGTGAGAGTTGTAGTTGTATTTATGTTAATTGTGCCGACTGGGGACAGTTTTAGAAGAGCCTAGGAGAAAAGACGGAAAAAGACAGAACTGTATAATTAGCTAGATAATTATTTAAATAATGTACATTCTCTTTGAGATGTTGTACCTTTCTCCTCAAGAAAAGACGAGAACTACTTGCACATCCCTTTTTAAGTATGAGGCTTGTGACTGACTCTTGTTTTCTTCGTTTTCTTTCCAGTTTGTAACCGCGTCACAGACCATTCCCTAAACTTTTTCAAGCGGTGTGGAAGCATCTGTCAGATAGACCTTCGCTTTTGCAAGCAGGTGACCAAGATGGGCTGCGAAAGGTTCATCGCAGAGATGTCTGTGAGCGTGCCATTCAGACTGAAAGAGGAGAAACTGCTGCAGAAGACAAGCTAGTTCCCAATGGAAAAAAAGATCAAATAACTGTCTTTGCACTTAATGGAACAATTTTGTTTTCGGACCGGTCCCTCTGATAAGTCTCTGAGTCAGTTTGACAGTAAATTGTGGACAGAGACCTGAGATGGACTCATGAGAAGTGATAGACTTTCACTGGATGGACAAAGATGAAGCGGCATGCATGCATTTGTGTTGAGATTGTACTTTTTATAAAGACATTGCTTGTAATTGACGGTTGGGTTGTTTATTTTTAATCTTAAAATATTTGAAAACCCAGTATTTTTATACGAGCATCATTTCATGAGTTTACAGTGTCTCAGGAGCTAAATATCACAGAGACTGTGTGATGTGAACAGAAACATGTCACCTTCCTCAGTTTGCCTTCATACGACGGTGTCTCCTTTGTGCCAAAATCTTTATTTGACATCTGTGTAATTTATCAGTATCAGAGAGGAAAGCAGCATGTACAGTGATAAATATCTGACTAAATTATCATTAAACAACTCCCCAAATATTTAGAATGTTTATCAAGAATGAAAGAACAAACTTAATTTTCCTTTTACACCCTCTTGTCTTCAGTTTCCTAAATACTTCTATGAACTGTTAAGTGTTGGTGTTGGATGGGTTTTCATCAACATTTCAACATTAATTTATTGTTTCTTTTTTTATTACAGTTTGTATTTATTCAATAATTCAGTCGCTTGACACAGAGGTCTCACACAGCGGGGTCAAATAATGCTTGCAAATAATTTATGGGGTTGGGGGGGTTGGGTTTGAGTCTGTTGCAGCACACACTTGGTGGGTTTAACACCCAGAATTTGACAGTCACAGTAAACAAGTGACTCACCTCACACTGACTGGCAGTAATGCAGTCAACCCCACATATCTGGTTCTCTATATAAGTATCTAAATAAGACCCTTGCAAATAAGTCATTTGCAAACATTTAAAGGTGAAATAAACCTCCATACAGTAGGTGTCGTGTGTATTTTGGGTGTCGTGCTGTAATCTTATCACCTCAGTGAATGTGATGATGTTTATATTTGTAAATCCAAAAACTGAAGTGCTAAAAATGCATTAAAAGAATCTCATTTGTATCAATATTGAGTCTCCAGTTTTTATATTCTGATGAAGTTTAAAGATGCCAGGGAACTTGTGAGGCAAAAGTCACGTTCAGCAATGGTTCCCTACTTTTTTGACTCATAACCTTCACCAAGGAGGTTGTTTCCGTCTGCATGCTTATTTGTTTGTATGTTTTTAGCAGCATTTCTTGGTGGCAGGATGTGGCGTGGGTGAGGAAATAATCTATACATTTTTGGGTGGAGATCCGAATAAGGGTTTACTTTATTTTTTAGCATTGACAAAAATGCCATTATTCAACATTTGTTGAATCTCTCAGAGAATAATCTGTGGATCTTGATGAAAAATGTTTAGAGGGTTGATATTTGTTAGATTTAACAAAAGATCAGGATCTAGTGAATTTAAACATGGTTTTATAAGGGGACTATTAAGGTCAGTAATGACTACTGAAAGCCATTCTAGTTTAAAATGTAAAATGACCCATACAGTTTTCCTTATGAGGTTTTTGAATAATTTTGTCTCAAACCTCTAAAATAACATATTTAAAATGGAAACCCTGCATGTCCTCACATCTCACAAGCTCAAACCATAAAAAATCCTGTTGCCAAAAATATGATTTTATGTTGATAATTTTGATGCCGACACAATCCAAGATAATACAGGGACACTGAATGTGATGCATCAATGTACAAAAACAGAATTTTTATTTGAATCTTTAATTACCAAAATAAAAAGTTTTGACATTCCCAAATACGAAGACAAACCTTGCACACGTATACCCTCACTAAATTAAAAGTGCAACCTGCTCCGCTACTCTTCATGATTGTAGGGGGACATCTTTACTGTAATAGCAGCAACGTTGGATTTGTGTGGGCACAGTAGAGATGGATACATCTAAAATGAGCAGGATTTGGGGAGGGGAATGTAAAACCAGGAAATAGAGCTTTGCAGCTGGAGAAGATGGCAGAATATAACATAACCATCGTCAAATGGGTTTGGGTTCTTGTCATGTTCTGGTTCAAGAGGGACAGATAGTCCAAGCGAACCTATGCAGATTAAACACGTCAAACCACTTGACAGGTAAACATAACTCTGTAATAATAAACTAACCCAATCCCACAATCTCACATTACTCAATTTGAAATCAAATGGAAAAAAAATATAGATGTATATACATCTGATATGAGTCAATATATGCAAATGTACATTAGCAAGTCATTATTTCTATATACTTTCTATACCACAGGTGTCAGTTAACTCACACTATATATTTGAATAGTTAGTTCAATATATTACTCCTACATGAGAGAGAATCAACTGAAAAGCATTAAGACACTTCATTCCACTCCCCACAAAACACGACGACAAAACAAACATTCAGTTTCACATCCACAGTTCAGCTGGAAAACAGTAGAAGATGATGGGAGGAGTTAGCACCAGTTGTTGTCTCCTGTCTCCATGTAAGTGCTGAGACAGGACAGAGGTGACAGCAGAAGAGGTTAACTACTGTTTTGCTGTAATGGCAAGAGTTTGCATGATCATGTCATGCATTACAATAACATATTTTTAAAAGCAAATCAGTGAAGATAATAAAAGAAATGATAACAGCAAATTAATGGAGATAATAAAAGAAATGATATATCAAGTTTCTCATAAGTCGTCATTATCAGTCATCTGAATCCTCACCTGCTGCTTTGTGGGCTGGGAAATGTTAGCTTGAAAAGAAAACACAAGCTCATTCATTTCTACTTCTGTTTTCACACTGACTAGAATACAATTACTGGGATTAAAAACTCCTTCAGTTAGGCTGAAACTTGGACAAGTATTCCATAATAAGTACACGTGCTACCTCAGCCTCTGTTACTGGTTTGCAGTTTGTGAGATGTGGTGCATCAACGCAGAGTGAAAGTGCTTACTGTTAAAACAACCAACAGTCACACACTGGCCCACACAGTCGAGGGAACAGAAAATGGGTGAGAAGCGTGAGGTTGTGACCCATTATTTGGCAACTAACTCCTGTGCTCAGGTTCAGCATGTGTCTGTCCTCAGTGTTACTAAGATATGTATTCCCTTGCAGCAGCTGTAAAAGAGAAGTGCTCTAAAGAACACTCAGAGTTGAGGGCCATCTGCAGTTTATAGGCTGATCTGAGGGTGATGAGTTGTGTTAAAACGAGACTGCACATGGCTGAGTGCCACACATTCTTTGTGTTGAAAAGTTGTAAGAAAAGCAAAACTGATACTTAGGAATGAGCACAGATTATAGATATGTTTACTTAAGGAATGACTCACAAGAGGGTATGAGCCTACGCTCTGCCCACTGGTGAAAGCAAAGAGTGACATATTTTCCAAAAAACAAACACATTTCTCTTAATATTTCAATGTGCAAATAATGTGAATACAAACATGAGACATCCACAAAATCAAGTCTTTTTGGGATTCAAAGGTTGTGAGCTGCATGGTTGAGTTAAGGTACAGTCTCGCTTGCTTCAGAGCTGCTACTCTGAAGCACGTGCTGCGGTGCTGCAGTGCTTTAGGACTTGAAGACGTGCACGGCCCTCACAACGTACTGCCTGCAGATCGGGCACTCGCTCATTCTCTTGCCGCACTTGGTGCAGGTGACCATGTGACCGCACTCCAGAAGAACACAGTCGATAGCTGCGTCCATGCAGATCCTGCAGAGGTTGTCGTCCTGGATCGTCAGTGGACCCTTCACACGGTCTACAGGAGACAGAGAGAGGTGACGGCAAATGTTGGGAAACTGCTTTGGACACAATGAAGAATTAAGTGTGACATTTCATGCACTGTGGAGGGGCAAGGAGCAGCAGCTTGATAAATCAACTCATGTTATCAAGTGTGCCATATCTTGTTCAGGTCACGCTCACAATCACCTGAAAAATGCCTGCTGTGGTTATGTGTCAAGATGTTTCTATGACAACCACATAGCCTTTATCGCTGGAGATGTGTTCGTAAGAGAGTGACTGTACACAGCTAACATACTGCAGTTCTCAGTATAATTAGCTTCACATGTTGAAAACATGACCCTAGGAGAGTGACCCCATGGTGGATCAATGTTCCTGGAGCATGGCTTAACTAAAACGTTTAAATTCAAGTTCTTTAGTGGGATAAGTGAAAATTCATTTTCAATAAAAACAGCCTTTACAGGAAATGCCATTCCGCAGGGAGGGAGGGGCACATGTAGGGATTTGACAAAGAAAGGGGGTTCGAAGATGAATGACAACAGGTTCACAACGAACACAGATGTGGTGCAGATGTGATACAGCTCACACTATGGAGAGGCGAACCACGAGATGGTTAAGTGTGACCATGGCAACGGTGGCAAGGAATCCATAAGCCTTACCTCCGATGGCACCGTTGCAGATAGGAGGGGGGAAGGCCACCACTTTAATGTGGGAGGAGTAAAGCAAGCGAGAGACATTCCATCATCATTCAGGGCGAAATTGAAATGACTCTGCTTGTGACTTCGTGTGCTCAGTGTAGGTTATTCAAATTATGAATATTTTTGTATTATTATTATTAACTAGGGGTGCAACGGAACACAAAAATCACAGTTTGATATGTATCTCGGTTTTGAAGTCACAGCTCTGTATTTTTTCGGTACAGCACAAACCAGCATTCTCACAAAGAGTAAGGCCGCTATAAAAACATCTATGGCATTTGTTATTAGAGTGTGTATATGCTACCTGGTAGGGCTGGGTTCAGATGATATTGAGGTTTGAACATTTGTTACAAATGCGTGCACCGCTACACCCCTATTTTTACCTAATGTTAACCTAAAGTTAAAAATCTAGGACATTTCAAACAGATGGGTGACAGCTTACCTGTGGTTACAGTACTGCTCACATTTTCCACTGCAAGAGAGAAATCAGTCAGTCAGCAAGTACACAGAAAGTACACGGTAGGGGTCAATATCTAGTCTGTACTCTCTACTTGGCTTCATACATACTATGACAGATAATGTCATGCTTTTTCATAGCTACCAACGAGTCAATAAGAAAGCTGCAAACAGTGTCATCTCTATGCAAAGTATTTATTCACTGATCATAGTACCCACATGATTTCCTGTTCTTCTCCGTCTCTCTGTACAATCTGCTGACGCGCTCCACCAGCTCCCACTTCTCACAGCACCCTGAATAGTTGACAAAGTTCCTGGCTAGGATCTCCTTCAGCTGCCTGACGGACAGGCCCTCTATGTCCCTCAAGCTGGAAATGTCGGAGAGCGATGCTCTGGCCCGACGCCGTGTCTGAGGACTCACCTAAAGCACCAGAAAACAATTAATACACCATTTGTACATGAAAAGAGAATATGTTTCGGATTTCAACCTGAACATTTTAGATTTAGTTTATTCTATTAATGTAAAAAGTATTTTCGAGTTCTTCAATCTGCAGACACTGCAGTTTTTGCGGCCGGAGAGAAAGTGGTTAAAGATCCAGCCAAGAAGTTCTTAGCATTAGCGTCTCATTTTCAGCCCTTACATTGGTTTTCTTGCACATTAACATTCAGCAACAGAAATGAAATGTGTCTGTCAATACTTCCCATATAAATGATTTTAAAATGATCAATAAAAATATGATCACCTCAGGGGTGTGTTCACTGGGATCCAAGTTGAGGAGAGACACAGACGTTGCGTCACCTATATCCTGTAATACAACAGCAACAACAACCATTAGAATGTACTACATGCAAGGAACACGCCAGTTAACTGAAGATTAGGATTAGACAACCTTCAGACAGCCCATTGATACCTTAGGAGGAACAATGCCTCTTCCCTTCCATTCATAGAAAAGCTTACTTTCCCTAAGCAGGCCAAGTACAAGTATTTATAGTGGATCCTGGCTGCTCGGAGCTACCCTTTCATTGCCAGTTGCAGAACTCCTCGTTCTCTCTTTTACCTTTTGTCTCTGCTCTCTAGCATCCAACTCAGTTTCCAATTAGACGGTTTAGGAAACGCAATTGTCAATAGTGAAGTCATGGGCTTCCCATATTATCCATTTATAGCAGCTTAACAAACAAGTGCAAATGAGCTGTGGACTCTTCAGAAATGTAACTGTTCTCAACATTCTCAGCAGAAAATGACACAGATTTGGCTGATGTGTGGTGAAGTTTATGTGTCAAACATGTTTTAAGGTTGGTCCTGACCTGGTTGGTATCAGAGCTATCACTTCTGCTGAGCGGTTCCTCCTGAGAGGTGACAAAAGCGGACAGCTCAGAGGCAGATTGTGTGGTAGAAGGGGTATACAGGGAACGTGAGTGCAAGCTGCCCGTGTCAGGGTCCTCCTCCTCTTCAATGCCTTGATGACAGAGCACCAACTCCACCAAGTCTTCCTTTTCCCTGCAGGTATCGATGGGGATGTTGCGGAGCAGCAAGTACTGGCGCAGATCTTTTACTCGTAGACGCATAAGCCGAGGCCGCTGAAAGGCTGTGGCTTTCAGCAAATGGCATGTGGCACAAATGCGCAGATTCTCCTGAAGGACGGAGCACAGCGAGCAAAAGCTCTTCTTGCAGTCGCAGCAAATATACTAGGAAAAAAACAGAGAGAAATCAAGATAATGTAAATGAGGAGATTTTTGCTCTTTCTACGACGCATTACAGCCAAAGATCCCTGTCATCAGCAGGATTCATCAGACATGAACAAGTTTATCTGCCCTTCATTTTTATTTATTTTACTAACCTGTGACATTCTAGAATAAATAGGAACACAGTCAAGTTGAGAGACTGAAAAGCATATCTTTGCCAGTAGACCTTTCCTGCATTTTTGAATCATTCACATCTGCTCTACCTCTCCAGGCACAGAAACATAAGGCAGCTCATTTCTTTTAAGTGACAAACATCAAATAGTAATAAATGCAAGACATGGGATTAGACTGGCACGATGATCGAGTGCAGCACAAGGTTCAGACAGAATGAGAGCCTCTGAGCCACACTGGGACATCAGTGAAGATGATATTACAGAACCAGTATGTTCTCCATCTGTCTCTGCAATTGCCTAGAATGGCACAGTGTTTACAACAAAAATCTGTTGCCCCTGGGTGTGAATTAAAATAAATTGACTAAATACATTTTAGCTCCACAGAGCTTAATTTTGTGGCTGAACTGCTCTCCAATTTAAAATGCACAGGGATATATTAAAAAAGAGAGAGTGATTTATTACAGACTAACTTCCGTCCTAGTTTTAGGTCCACTGGCCAGGCAGCATTACAAATGTGGATATGCATAAAAACATGCACTCAATCTACATTTAAAACATTTGATTGCTCAGTTTCCAACAGCCAAACATAATAAGCAATTTATACTCCTAAGTATTTATTTAGTATCTTCATCTGCTTCCACACGTGGACATTTTCATTCTGATTAAGTCAGCAGACCAATTAATTTCTACTGGCACAGATCATCCAAGCACCTACCTTCCTCCTGAAGACTGAGAAAGCCTGGCCACAGGCCTTGCATACAAGATTGGGAGTCCCTGAGCTGGTGGGCGGGTATGTGGAGTATCCCGCACTGGGTGCAAATCTGAAGGGTCCAGCACCGGCTCCAAACCCTGGCTGCTGGCCTCTGACGGCCCCGGTACCCATGACTTCATTCAGCAGACCACAGCATGAAGCCCACAAGGACGAGGCCCCTGCCTGCCAAGTCACAGAACACCTTGACTTCAGTATTTGCTATGTTCACATGAATCTTGTTGCTGCTTTAGATACTGAAAGAACATGGACAACAACATGTTAACAAATGTTTACCACAGAAACAAGCCCTGCTCTTTGAATAGAAACAACATATGAGTGGTAATTATAGAGGAGATGACAATAAAGATGACAATGTTTAACAATAAAGCAGAAACTAGGTGCAGGCAGGAGGACGAGGCTAATACAGCTGCAGCACAACAATCACACTAAGCTCGATACATCGTTAGACTATTTTTTTTAACTGTCCAACGTTAACGTTGCAAAACAGCATAACAAAACAACAAAGGGACATCTTCAAGAGAACAAGTTCCCTTCAATGAGTCCCTGCTTAACAACAGTGTGAGGTGGATTGCGGCTGACAGCTGTCAGAGTTGCTATTCCGACAATTAGCTAACACAGGAGCAGACGGCAGCTCCCCACACAGCGACGAGAAGCTTGGCGAAGCATAGCTAATCTTAGCTGCTAGCTACAGGCTAAGCAGAGCTACAATAGGAGCGGAGGTTATGTAAAGAGGAGAGATGCACCTTCATTGCAGCTCCGGCGTGTCTGTGGCTGTGGAGCAACAGACTGGCGGGTTCCACATTGCAGAAGGGAGCGTCACTTCTCTGGATGAGTCTCGCTTTGACGACGAGAGCTACCACCGAGATTGGCTTCTTCTTCTACTGCTCCCTGATGCTGCCAGAGTCTGGACCCTGCTGCGTTGTGTTGCTGCCCCCCAGAGGTCACAAAACGAACTGAGGTAATGGCTATTTATATTTTAAATGTTTTAATCATTTGAATGAATAATATTAAAATAAAAAATGTGACATTTGCTGTCAGTATTAGTAAAATAAGATCATATTTTGCGTGCCCGACATCGCTAAAATAGTAAAAATGGATAGATGAATAAATAAATACATATATACATAAATAAATAAGTGACTTTATCATCACCAAACTGTATTTGTGTTTTTGAGTTATGTATTTATGCATTTATGTATTATTTTGGCATTTACTCATTTAGATATTATCGAGTTGATTCTTTATTCGTTTTTTAAAAATTTAATTTAGATAAGATATTCCTTGTTGCGTTAAGGCAGCAGAAAGGATAGTGAAAGTAAATAAATAAGTACAAATGAAATATAAATACAATAAAATATTGAAAAATAGAATGAACTATATACAATACAAATAAATATATATGTCATATATACAGAACAGAATATATATAATATCAAATGGATAGAGTGTAACGGGATTGCACAGTTAGATGAGGTTGTACAGTTATTAATGTTATAACGCACTTCCGGTACGATTGTCTCCCTCTCGGCGAGCGCGCCAATAACAAGCGTCTCCACGTGATGACGTTGCCTGACGCGTCACCACGGTGTTTTGACTTTGAGCGCGTGTCTTGTCCAGGTAGTTTGAAGATGGAACCCGACCCCGGTGTCAGCTCCGTGAGCATGTTTGAGGACGAGTCGGTGGATGTTCGCTACATGAACGGATCCCAGTTACAAGTGTCCCCGTGCGGCGGCGAGTTCCTGCTGGTGAAAGCCTCAGACCCCTCCCGGCATCCTCTGCAGCCCAGAGAGAGGGTCCGCCAGAGGACCAGGTTCACCATCAGCACATACAAGGTAACTGTCAGGTCCTGGCTATTCTCTGCGTTACAACTACTGACCTCAGTGTATTCAACGGGCTGGTGTCGCTTTGCAGGAGTTGATGACAGCTGCACTGGCGTTTAGGAATAAATATGCAAGTCGACCATACCTGCCACAGGAACTCGTCCCTGCTGAACACAAGACGGTACTATTAACCACTTCCTGTCCCGCTGTTACCCTCACATCGCTGCTAATCATGTTGCTTACTGAATTTTCTACCTGCAGCCTTTCAGCATTGACTCAGATGTGATGTGGCCTGAGCTCTCCTCCTGTGAAGCTGAGCTCGGGCCTGGAGGTGAAACCATCATCAGGTCTCAGGAGGGACGAGCTGCACTGATGCTGTCGCCCTCAGGAGAAGAATTCTCTGTCGAGTTCCAGTGCAGACTCAGCCAGTTTCAGAATCATCAGCACAGTGCGGAGAGTTTCAGCAGGGATGTGGATCGCAGGGCGGTCAGTGAGCAGCATGTAAGCAATCTGATCAGTCAGACCATTAGTAACAGGACCAATCTGGGAAGAGGAAGTAGAGATCAAGGCCTTGTTTCCTGATTGAGAGGTCATGCTTCATAAAAATATTCTTGTGCTTCATCTTTGACGAACTTTGTCATTTCTCCTCTTTTCTCTTCCCAGCCAGGGGAGAAGTACCAATCAACCACAGTGGTCCAGCATCACTCCTGCTTTGCTTATGCCCCCATGTGGTGCTACCCTCTCTCCTTAGCTCTCCACCACTGGACGACGCGTGTCTCTCAACCTACAGAAGTTATAGCGGTTGGCGCCAGCGATTCTGCCCAAGCAGAGAGGAAATTAAATATGTCTGACATATCTAGTGAAGAGAGAAGGTCTTGTCTACCTCAGGCCCTGGCTCTCACATGTCCGTCCCCTCACAGACACAGGTTTGCTGATTAGATGCAGATTGTGCAGTATTTATTGACGCTCAGGGACTGATTTGGTCATGTGTTTAAGGTGGAAGAGTAAAGATGAAGACCATCCAGCAGAGCTGATGAAAGTGATGTGGTGTCAGGGAGTCACCTACAGGTAGATGTGCAGGAGTTCATGATCCTTAGAGAGCTTTATTACTTTGATGATCTTTGAAAGAGCCCCTCCACTCTATAGTCATACAAAATTTAACAGAGCGAAAAAACCTAATGCCTTTGCAGTATGGGCCCCCAACCTCTGGGATCAGAAATGCTACATCTCTCACTGCTTTTTAATCCTTTCTTTCTCTACCTATTTATTTTTTACGATTCTTTCTTTTATTGTTTTCCTCTTGTGAAGTACTTTGTTGTATAATACAAACAAATAAGAAGAAGTTTACTTTGAAAAAACAAAGCATTGAAATGAGTGTATATGATAGGAAATACACAAAATGTGTTTTTCATTTAGCTTGAGTAGATTTTGTGAAGAGGTGCATATATTTACACTCAGATGTTCTCAGTGTTATTTTTGTTGGACCTTAACTTTTCTCATTTAAAAATCCCATGTAGAGATGTATAATACATATATAGCTACACAGTGACTGTGTGTACCTGTCTCTTGTGTGTAGGATACTGAGTGGAGCTGTCTCAGTCATAGAGGTTTCTCCAGGAGATGGATCAGTGATCCGTTCTAACGGTGTCCTCAACACTTATTTTACCCATCACCGCCCTGAGCTCCAGTCAGGGCAGGTAAGTCTTTCATCATGCAGCTTTTATATAGTCTGATCCACTGTATTCAAAATGGCATGTTGTTGATATGGAAGCTAAAAACAAAGCCAATCTAGTTACTTTATTTTTTCCATAAATGCACAAGGACTAATTATTTGTTGTGACTTTGCAGGTGAAAGAGATATCATACCATCTGAATAACCTTCCACCAGATGTAGTGGGACAGGCCTACTCCATATGCTCCATTGTAAATCGTGCAAGCAGGTGAGGAGCCGTATATAACGGTCAGATACATTTCATGGCTTTATTTTATTTAAGTCTCCAACCATCACGTCATTGTTTTAAAGGATCCTCACTTGCTATGACCAGGCCAAACAATCCCTGACGCTCCCTGCTGCACCCAGCTGCTTGCAAGGGGCCATAGAGGTAGTCCCTGCAGATATTACTATAGCTGTTCATATCTACAGTAGTCAAGCTTCTAAAATATATATATATTATATTCTATTTGCAGGGGAAACATTTTTCTAAACCTGCAGTGCTTGAAGGAAATCTTGCACCTGTTGAGCATCACATGAATGTTACAGAGAGAGAAGAAAACCTGTGAGTTTTATTTTTCTGGTCGCTCGTTTGCTATTGTTGGATTGTAAGTTGGATACTTTGCTATGTGTGATGTGATCTGTTCCGTGTCCTTCAGGTCGGATCTTGTAGCTGCCGAAGTGGAGAAGATAAAGCGGTTCAACTGTATCCTTCAGCACTCATAATACTGATTTATTTCTTGTTGTGAGATTTTACATGTTACTCATGTTTATGTTGACAATGACTTTGTTATGCACTTTAACATCCTGTGTTCAGTTCTTCTGGAGAATAGCCACCTGCAAAGAAGTGAGAAAGCATGTGTGGAGCAGCACCGTCCTCCTGCAGAGGAGGAGACTCATGAACCAGTGAGTGAGAGCTCCATTGCTGAAGCTCTTCAGAGGACATCCAGAGCCATACAGGAGATTGATGCTCTCGTGTCTGCAACCACACTGACATGACGGAGTGAGCAGAAACCCCTTCGTCTGAGCTTCATTGGGAAGATGTAAAGCAGTTTAACCATTATGCACAAACACTTACATAAAGACTTATGTTATGGTGTCACAAAATCCTTTGTAATATTCATTGTATTGACCAGACTAGTCACCAAATGTTCAACCACAGAACCCAAACATCTGTATATAGAATGTTTTCCTATTGCTAGTGCTTTTGAACATTAATATTTCATTCCTACACCCATAATGAATATTCTATGTCTGTCTGGTTTATCATTTATTAACTATTGATAGCCAAACTATAATTATCAAACATCAATACCCCTGGTCTTTTTAAACATTTCCTTGGGTTTCACAGCTGTGGTCAGTTACTCACCATTTCATGTGTTGATGGTCTTTTAGACTTGGGTAAACGCGTTAAAACAATTGTATAATATCTGTCTAATCTTGATTTACATTCATAATTTGTTCCAAATGTTCAGAGTTTTCCCTGAACTCACATCTTTTGAAATAAGAAATTCTAAATACTTGAATGTAGTTTAATATGGAAACCATATGCTGCCACAAGATGGCAGTCATGAATAGCTAATAAAAGAAAAGAAAAATAATAAAAATGTTCTCAAGTTCAGTTGAAAACCAGAAATATATAATTATCATAGCTTTGGGTCAATATATTCCAAAAGCAAAGCTGTATTATCTATTTGGTTTGTTATGACAGCCACTGGCTCACTGACCTGCTACAACTAATGAGTGATGGCAGACTTGGGCAGCCTTGTTTTATACCCCTGTTCATTTAAAACTTAAGGGAACACTTGACAAAGAGTGAGCTGTGAGTGTCATGATAAAAGCATCTGATCACATTCCTTGAATTCTCTGCAGAACCAGTTCCAATGACATGGGGCCTCGTGAGCGAGATCCATCTTCTTTGTGGCAGTTACTGTTCCTGAGGACTGGTGACGTCATGGGTGACGTCAGAGCTCTCGCATTGAAAATTATTATCTATCCACACTATCTGCTCTTCATCATATACATAAATTAGGATTTACACACTTGAATTCGAAAAAATACTTGCTAATATTTGTGATAAATACTGTGGACAGACTGTCTGTGTCTGTCTTCACATAGTGAGTGTATTGTGAGTTGATTATAAACTCCAACAGAGAGAGCTAGTGCAACCAATAATGTTTATCTCCAAAAGTTTTAACATTGGTCTTTCTGTGCTCTGTCAGCTACAAATAAAAACATTGCTCACTTCAGACTTAACATTGTGTTGCAGCTGCTGCATGGATGTTGACAGTTTTGGCAAAGTGCTGATTCCATTTAATGTGGGGAGAGTATGTAAAATAAAGTCACCTGTCAGAATGTTTGGTAAACACTTGAAAATGAAAATGTTGTGATATATAAGGATAATGCAGTGTTATGCCTTTTAACAGTCACATGAGAATATTGTTGTTGTGTGTGCTGATATTTTTTTATATTGTCTATGGTTAATCTCTTTGTTTAAATCACCTGACCAAACTATTAAACTGATATGTTGTGCATGGTTTGTCCATTGTTGATGCCAATGCTTTTTTAATTAAGTTTAGTTTTGTTCAACAATAAATTCATATGTGATTAGTGAAGTATTTTTCAAAGCTCTACTTTTTACAATTTTTTCAAATGTTAGTTGTAACAAATTGGATAAAGATGCTGTTTTCTTTGTACAATTGATTTTATTATTAGGAATATTCCACATTCATGAGAATGAACCGACTCTAAAACAAAAAAAATTGAATTTTTCTATCAAGAACATGTCCCTGCAATGGACTAGCGACTTGTCCAAGGTGTGACCCGCATCTCACATATTGTCAGCTACTGGGTCCAGCTCCCCATGACCATCAAAAGGTGGATGGATGGATGAATGAATGAAAGGATGGATGGAGGGATGAATGGATGGAAAAATGGATGGATGGATGGAAAGATGGATAAATTGATGGATAGATGGATGGTTGGATGGATGTAGTGAGTCATGGATATCAAGAACTACATCAATATGGTACCAAGTAAAGAGCGAGGCACCTAAAACTAATACTTCACTGGCGAATATCAACTATAAAGTTATCAATCACAAAAAGAGATATCAGTGTTACATGTGTAAGAAAATCTCTCTCCCCATCGACCATGCTGCAGTCGCCGGGTCAGATGCATGTTTTCTCCGTCTTATAAGATCGAATGGTGATGGAGGAGGATCCAGCTGATCTCAGATCGGATGGTGATGGAGGAGGCTCCAGCTGATCTCGGGTCTGCTGCGGTGACGCGATGTCCCCGAAGTCTCCCCCGTTGTTCGTCTATTTTCTCGCGAGAAGCCGCGAAGTTTCCGGTGTTGTGTATGTTCCTGGAAACATGGCGGCCAGCTTCCGCGGCCGTCCTATCCGGAGTCTTCGGATGCGAGGTAAGCGTGAAAAGCTCGATTGAGCGGCATGTGTGATGGCGGAATTTTGCGAAAGTAGATGTTCCCGGGCATGTGATGAGCCGGGCGGGATCCCTCACCATGTGGCCGCTGTGTGTTTCTGACAGGTCGGAATGACAGCGGGGAGGAGAACGTACCGCTGGATCTGACCAGAGGTAAGCATCATCACCCTGAGAGCGATTATTGTTCAAGATGGATGAGGCGCGTTTCTGCAAACTCTGGCTCCGAGGAGGGAAAACATTGGTCGTCGGTGCCCATGTCCCGTCAGTGATGCTGTTCACTCCCCCCTCTCTGTTTGGTTTAGCCAGCTATACCATAATAACAGGCGGCTGCGAGCTAACTAACTAGCAGGGTTAGCATTAGCTAGGTGCCACAGCTAAGCACCCATGGCGACGGTGTGTTGTTTTGGTTGGTGCTAGTGGACAAAACAGGCTCGTATCAAGCCGAACCGCCACAAGTGCTGCAGTAATCCTGAGGTTAGAGCTAGCTGTAGGTACTCGTGTGTTTATGGGCTGTTAGCTGGGGAGTTAAAGATACAACACATGCTGCGGCAGGGTGTTTTTCTTTCGAGTTGTTCTCTGATACATCTGCGCAGCTCTTCTCCTCCTGCAGCAATAATGTACACCCCTCAATCCCTGTCTCAGCGACCCACACTGGTTGTATTCACTGCAAACCAGCGTCAATCAGCATCTGGAATGTCAGATGAATAAAAAGTCAAGAGTGTCTCAGTCTAATCGACATGAGGGATGAGGTGGAGGGGCATTAAATCTGCCAGCTGTTTCTTCATGGAATCGGAAAGGGTCCTGCGTGTAAGAAATTGGACCTCAAGGGTTAATTGCAGGTCAGGGTAAGTGGATCATAACACTGTGGACGTGAGTTTTGTGCAATCCTAATACTGACGACTAAGGTGTGTCTGCATCCAAGACTTTCAAGGTCATCAAACTTCAAATGCCGACCATGACAAATGTTTTTTGCACACTCTTACATAGACAGTCTATCCCAAAGGAAGAATATTGCACTTGCAGATCATTGCTGCGTCAGTCTATGCAGCTCAGGCTATGTCTGATACAGTTAGGCAATATTATATTCTACCACAAGTTTAGCAGAAAATGCTCATCAGTGTTTGTTTGGTTTCATCAAATCTATCACAGATGCAGTTTGTTTTTCTCATGGATAAAATTACATTTGTACATTTTGTACTTATGTAAATTCGGTACTTGAGAAAATGGATTGCAATAGTCGATACATTGACACTTTAACACGTCTTTTAATGTGTCCGGCTGTTAGTAATTCGAATGATGGCTTATACTGAGATGCTACTATTTGACAGATTGAAACGCTTGGCTAACATTGTTGCTGAGGAGAAAATATTGTATTCAATTTGTTAAGCTGGTGTATTGTTTGTTTCTGCAGCATTGATCTTTTGGTTGAAATACAGTATCTGGAGCTTCTTTCCTCTGTTTTTACACAGTTTCTAAAAGGAACTGAAAACGAAAAAAAAAAAAACCCATTTCCCTGCTCAAGTCTTGCTTTTACAGTCTAGACCTTGTTTTGACTGTACACACTAATTTAGTTGGACCAGCTAAACCAACTTCCTTCCTGCAACATATCATATACAGTTCATTGACTGTTATTGTGGCAATATGGTGTAATATAACATTTGTCTTAGTTACATTGTATTTCCTTCATGTTCTCCTGCAGAGCCATCAGAAAACTTCCGTGAAATCCTCCAAAATGTGGCCAAATCACATGGAGTCAGTAACATGCGAAAACTGGGCCACCTGAACAACTTCATAAAGGTAACTCTACCAGATTTTGATTTTTTTACCACAGGGTTTTATTTATTACTTTAGACAGTGTTGACAATACAGATCATTATTGATGGTAATAAAGTTGTAGGGCTGTTAAACCTGCAATTACAATCATCAATCTTTTCAAGACGTGTGACTAACTCTTTGTAAAGACTGACTAACTGTGCTTTCCATCCGCTGTCATGTTACCACTGACCTCTCCTTGATCCTCTCCTCTTGGGTGTTGCTGCCAGTAGGCCTTGCTGTGTCTTGTCATTGTGATGCTGACAGTGACTGTAACAGGAGCTCTAGGGATGGTAAAACACTCATGTGCAGCACTCTAACTTTGAAACTTGAGAAGTTTAACTTCTGGTTATTGTTTTTATGAACCTGAGACACTGTCACTTCCAAACATTATATTTTCTACCACTGAGGGTAAAAGTGAAGGTCTTCCAGTATAAACGGACGCCGTGCTTCTAAATTTCTCATATGTCAAGTGATCATTTATCGGGCACCAGAGAAGATATTTATTGGGCTGTGTGTGTCATACTTAACAGTAGTTGGTGACAGTGATGCACAGATTTATTGTTTGCAAAAAAGAAGGAAGAATAAGAGATTTAGTTCGTTTTCTATTCGTTCCGCTGCAGATAACGGTTCAGATGGAATGGGTTGGAAGTGTTTTTCGATTTGAGTCTTTTTCTTTGTGGCCTCACTGATGGACTAGTGACCTCTGCAGGGTCTTTTTCTGCTTTTCATCTTTCACACATTAGAATAGTCTTGGGCCCTCTTGCAATTTTGAACAGGAATAATATAAAACTGAAAATCTTGTCATTGAGAAAATGTCCAATTCACCACCCTTGGGCACCGGTTGTAATGACGTTTGCTGATTTGCACTGAGCCCCCCCGCTGTCGTAAACCACCTCTGACTGTGTGTCATGGACATATTTTTTCCAACTGTTGGTGGCCCTGCAGCCAGTTTGTGCTGGCCTTCAGAAAACGGTGCAGCTGGCAGTGCGGTTGACTGGAGGCTAAGTGTGAGGCTGAGTTGTGCGTCTGTAATCCGTACACCTAACTCCCTTGTTTACAACTGACAGGAGGGTAATAGTCATGACGTGTGTGTATACGTCTGTTCGAGCACCATGCCTCTGATGCCTTATAAGGGTTCCAGGACAGTAAGGGTGACCTAATCCCCCTGGAGAGTGTCACATGCCCATCGCCCCATCTCCTCTCCCGCCCCCCTCCTGCCTGCTTGGACTCTGACATCACAGCTGGTTTAAAACAACCCCCTCCTCACCATGCCCTTGTTCACCCATCCTGTTCCATTTCTTCCCTTGCTCTGTGGTTTGTAATGAAGGAGAGAAGAGGATTATTTTCATCTTCAAGACGCAATCACACATAAATTACCCTTTTGATTTACTCATCGGCTCCTCTGCTGATGCTGCATCGGGAAAGGCTTAGGTTACCTGCTGTGATAAAGTAGCACTGCCTGGGTGCCTCAGGGTGCTCAAAAGGTGGTGGCTCCTCCCATTGCTTAGGGTGGGTGATCTGATGATTTTATATATCGACTTTTCATAAGCTTCTGGTATGATTTCCTTTTTTATGAGGATCACCCACCCTTACTCACTGCTTTGTGTGTATTATGCATATTCTAAACTGTGCTTTTGTTAGCATTAGCCAGATGACACCAACTATCGCTGAAGACGTGAAAACAAAAGCAGTTCATCATCAATAGTTTTTCAATATGAACTGATTTTGTTTATGTTTATTATGGACAAAGCGTTTTGTGTCCATATAATTTGAATGATTTATACACCAGCAGTATGTTGGCCGCTGTTAATCATTGAGGAACTGTGGGTGAGGAGCTGGAGCAGGCCTGGTAGGGTACACCAAACAGAGCCAAATAGTCAGGTTCACAGCAGAAGTATACAAAGTAGTTTTCAGAAATGAACGCCGGTGAATGTCCTGGGTCTGGACTTTCTCCAGAGTTTGCCTTTCACACATGAACAACGCAGCAGGAGGTAGTCAGCTCAGACGTGTTCACAACAACACAGAGTGTTCAGGTGAGGGGTGGTGCAGCACAGGCCGGATGAAATGTATTAATTCTGCAGTGGCGATCACATGTTTTTGTTTTACTGCACATCAACACCAGCTTCGACCCTTATTACCAAAAGTTCTCTTTATAACTTTGTCTGTGTCTTTTTCATCCTGAGATATTTGTATCTGTGTTGTGTTACAAACGTCATCATAGCGCTCCTGCTGTGTTCTTACATTGGCTTATTCAGACATTATCTGGAGTTTTTACTAGGGGGCAAACTAGAAAGTCTAGAGCCTCTCGCATGAA